AAAGCTAAACTGACTATAATATGAAAGTAGAATTTTCACTTGAGATAAAACTAAAAACATTGTTAATCAAAGTTTAAAGTAGCTGACTTACTATAAATGAACAGAACTGTAAAAGTCTTTAATGTTTATTGTGTTGTGATATGCAAAAAAAAAAAAAAACAGAATAATTAATCAAACTAATAATTTCTGCAGTGTTTTGCACATCAACTATTTAAACAAAATAGTTTTTTTTCATTTTATCTATGAGGTGTGCAAACCAGAAACCATGATTTTCGATTAGACTGATAGAAAAATACACTTATAAAAAATTACATTGTCATTTTCCTTTTTTTCAGTGTACAATAGCAGGCACCATGGTACAATGATATATACCATGGAACTTAAAGATTATCATAATCACAGACCATAGTACATTGATGTTGTATGTCCGAAAAATATGATAATACTGTGGTGTGTTTTGTTAGTGCTGCTAAAATACTAAGGCTGCACAGACAATCTCAGTAAAACCTTTCTTCACAGATCATTCTGTATGCTTTATGAACTATATGAATCATAATCATATATAGTCTGGTCACTTTTTGAACTGCAAGAGATGTTACTTGTCGCTGATATATGCTCACCTCTGACCAGCTTCCAGTGGTCCAGTCAGCAGGACAGGACACATGTGCGTTGCACCGGACAATTGACTCCGGCTTAGGCAAGTGATGACATTCAGCCGGCTGAAGCGCTCGTTGCTCATCCAGCCCTAGACTCCGAATACACAGCACTGTTCTCTTACTAAGCCCAGTGTCCCCACAGCTAGACGAGCACTTCTGCCACTCTCCAACCCACCATCTGACGACACAAAAACATCACAGGAATATACTTTACTGCTCTGACGATTGCCTTTAAAAGCCATCTAGTGCACTGCTGCTGACGGGTGTGTAAAGTACAGGACTGTCCAGCAGTAAAACTCACATGGCAGGGCATGCCCCCTGATTGCAGTTAGTTTGCTTGTCATCCGGCCTAGTAGATGGATCACAGTAATGTTCCTCAACAATTCCAGATGTTCTCTCCACACAGTGCACAACTTGCCTCTGCACACCTGAAAAAAAGGAAATATTGAAGAGCAGCTGTTTACAAAAAAAAATGTACATTTGCCAGTGCACACAAGTATGCATTCAACATCTGGCAATCACATAGAGTTCAATTACAGAATTTTCAGGCAATTAAAGAGAGACAGCTGACAATTGTACCACAGCCTGCACTTCTTCATAGGCAAAAGACAAAATCTCCCAAAAAATTATATATAAATAAATATGTATACTACACAAAATAAATCAATAAATAAACTATTTAAATTTCCATACAATTTTGTCAAAAGTGTTTACATTCATTCAATTTCCATGAAAGAAAGAATTATGGCACTAAAGATTAGTGTTAGCGGCATTTCAATATAGTGAGTGAGTAAAATGCCACGAACACTAAACTCTTAGTGTAATATATCTCTTCACATTTCAATTTGGCTGGCATTTAGAGAGTGGCAGTATATTTAATAACGCAGTTTTCCTTAAGAACACCAGCCAATGATCTTTTTGTGGTTTGATTAAAATTTTCACATTGTCCTATTTAATGAACTGTGGAAATTAATGTGAGGAGACAACTATGCTGAATATAATAATAAAAAAAATCTCCGCAGTCCTGTACTTCTAAAACAGAGATAGCAGCAAATCTACCTCAATTACTTCTTGCTACTGTCCCTTAGGAACTGAATTCACTCCAGAAGGAGGAGGGATAGTCCTTCTTGTGTACTCTCCTCTGCTAAAGTCACGTCCTCGGGCTGATTTCGACCTTTATTTGACAGCTTTGAGAATTAGAGTCTCCAACAGAGAGATGAAGGGACCCGCAGTCTGGAGACTTGACAGACTTCACAGGTGTTTGAAGAATGTTATCAGATAAACCCTCAAACAGATGGGATAAAGGGCCCTGGGGCCCAGGTGTCAGTGTGCACTGATTGGTGTGAACCTCAAAAGACATACATGGACATTAGGTGGCTAGTCCCACAGCTAAAATTTGCAGAACACTGTCGTATGTTTATTTATTTGTAAATACTATTGTTATCAGAGTCCCAAATTAAAACCCTAAAACCTTCTATGGTCTATTGTCTATTTAGATAGATTTTATGATTTTTTTAAATGACTTTCTTTAGTATTTGAACATAAATACATTGCTTATTTGATTAAAATAAAAACATTATTTGATGTAGTGGGAGCCCTTAATTTGAATTTAGGCAGACCAGGCTTTAATTCTGCTGCTATGATATAGAATAATTGATTTACCTGCTGTGCCAGACCAATTAAATGATGTCATTTGTTTGAGCACTTCAGTCAAATTAAAGATGAGCAGTGGGTAATTGCATCTAAAAATAATCATACTAACTCATACTCTTCAACACTATTGAGACTGGTGCTATGGTAGATATAAACACATTTTCATCCTATTCTTACTTGTTTCCTCTCTCTGTTAATCCTTAAACAGAGCTGTTGATGGCCAAAAGCAAAAACATAATGTAATCAGCAAGAATTAATACACTGTTTCTTAAAAATCATCTAGTAATACATTTTCAAGAGGAGTCACTTAGATAAACATTTAAAAAATGACAGAAGCATTTGCAATGGCTTTAAGAAACACAATCAGACTTCTCAGAGCCCCTATTCAACTTAGTTTACAGGCTTGTTGTGATATTCAGTCTAATATCCAAACTCAGTATCAGCACCCCTTTTTTTATTAGGACGAATTAATAAAATGATTAACAAACAAATGTGTTGTGTGTGATTGGTTCAGCAACATAACTACATTTTCTCCAAATAATTTCTGCCCACTCTATCACTCTATCACTCTATCTACCCACTCTATCACACAGCCAAAAGGAATGTTACACGCATTTTCAACACATGAAACAAAGATTTAAATGAGACATTTACCTTTTGTATTACCAAAAAAAAAAAAAAAAAGATCATAAGGCTGCTTCCTGCAGTCAAATTACATGCAAATCCTTAAGTCTCTGATTTGAGCTACATTGTCATGTTTGAAAAATGTTCAATTTTCTCAGATTAAATGTTGGTGACTGAGATACAAGAAACACAGTATGCAGCAATAAGTAGTTGTTCTTCTTAGTCATCCTTTCATTTGCAGATGAGGGTCGTACATGAGGAGAAATTCGAAGATTAAATAAAGTAACAGCTTGTATTCAATTACACTTTGATTAGCAGCAATAAGTTTCACAGACTATGAAGGACACTGTAAAAACTTCAGAAGTACAGTACACTCAATAAACATTGAAGACAGTGTCCTAATTACATTTGTAACAGGAGCGCTGGATTCAAATGGCCATCAGCATCACTATCTGGAAAGGATTAGCAGATTAACCCATCCATTAAACAAAGAAACTGCACCCACCTGTGATCCTTCGATCAAATTAGACACACTTTAAAAAACATTAAATATTCTCTGAATTCTTGATTAGAGAACAAGAAGTCTAAAGTCCCATTTGTTGCTGAAAATGCTAAAAGGCCATATTTTGTTCTTTACATATGGGGACTTTTTTCAGTGAATTTTATGAGAGAAAACACTGAAAATGTGCTGTTATTTTTCTTAAAACAGTCACTTTGCCTTTGCTTTTAATACCAAAAATAAAGTGGTATTTATAGTGTATTCTTTCCTGAAACAAGAAACAATGTTTGAACAATTCATTATTATAAAAAACAAAACAAATGGATATAAAGCATCTGTAGATCTGTATGTTTTCATTTGTAAATGCACCAGTGTGAAGTAATCGTATGTGAAATATCACTTAATAGTTTTCACTGTATAAATTGACAGATTTATGCTTATTAAAGCTACTAAAATGATTCAGTCAAAAGCAGCGAGTGATTTTTCTCTTTTTTGTTGTTTGAATAACATTAAAGACACAGACAGCTACAAGTTTAGGCTGTTGTCACTTTAAGAATTAATGCATGGATCCAGAAGACATAAACGACTGAGCTTAAGTGAATACTCGCCAAGCTGGTCATTTTGACATATTTGTGTGTGTATTTGACTGCTTAGGCATGCATCCGAAGCCAAAGTATGCTTTGATTGTTCGTGTTCTGCTCGAGAAGGACCAGCATGCAGAACGGGGCGAGGCTACAAGTGTCACTCCGTCCCATACCTACTCTGATTGGCTTGGTCGTCTTTCACAGGCATACATAATAGGAAATGTGTTCGGAGTTGTCTTCACTATAATGCACAGACAATACAACATTAGCCTATATCGAATTCACAAATGAACCATTCAATGTTTTTTTTTTTGGAACCAGATGTTCAAAAATAAAAAATTCAAAAGATTCACTTGCAAAATGCACATTACTATCGGAGAAGATCTTGATTTCTTTCATTTAAAATAACAAGGAACAGCATTTTTTCCTGGAATGAAGTAGAGGAACGAGTCTGATATTATGCTTTGCAATGTAATGAAGAAAAAGAAAGCTTCATAAAAACTAAATTAACATGCCAGACACATTAGCCTATTGCAGTGTCATTTAGTTATTATACAACTGCACCCAACATGGCTTATAAAAACCAATAACAACTTCTGTAACAATAAGTGTGTCTTGCTTTTATTTAAATCAAAAACGTCACTGATACATATTTTTCATTTCCTTTCTCATACTATGGTCATATGAAGTAATCACATTTCACGAACCATTTAATTCATAATTCATTCCTTTATCTGAAGACCTGACCCTCCTGCTGAGGACGATCAACTAATACATTTTTGTTTAAAGGTGCCATAGAATGCATTGATACAATATTTTAAATTGTTCTCTGATATCTACATAGAAGGTATGTGGCTTAGGTAAGGGCAAAAAATCTCCAGAAACGGTTTTACATGTCCATTTACAACCCTATGATTTGTCCCTAGAATTAAATGGTCTGTTTTTACCTTATTTGGAAGGGTCATGAATAATAATGTTGAGCTCTGCTCTGATTGGCTGTTTCACAGTGCATTTCAGTAGCTCACACAGCAGGAAGGAAACACAGGGAAAATAAATATTTCAATACTGTCTCTCGCAGTTATATCGTTGGGTAATTATACTTTATATAAAATGCGGGCATCAGGGAGCCGCTATTAATATGCGGGGCATTGAAACTGCTTTCAAATGCACAATCGCTTTTTACTTTCACTTTCGAGATTTGCATCGCACGTGCTCTGTGTAAACTACAGCGGCAGTACTTAATGTTGAGCTCTGCTCTCATTGGCTGTTTCACAGTGCGGATCAATGTTGAGCTATGCTCTGATTGGCTGTTTCACAGTGCATTTCAGTAGCTCACACAGCAGGAAGGAAACACAGGGAAAATAAATATTTCAATACTGTCTCTCGCAGTTATATCGTTGGGTAATTATACTTTATATAAAATGCGGGCATCAGGGAGCCGCTATTAATATGCGGGGCATTGAAACTGCTTTCAAATGCACAATCGCGTTCACAATCGCTTTTTACTTTCACTTTCGAGATTTGCATCGCACGTGCTCTGTGTAAACTACAGCGGCAGTACTTACCATACATTTTACAAGATCAGATGCTTGTCAGTGGTGCTCAGGATCTGTAAATAATTCGCCATCATCCTCAGTCATCTCTCCTTACTCTGTTTATGTGGTAAGTGAAATCTTATGTACTGTAATGTAACAGGCTACCGCTAGCAAGCAGCTAACCATGTCCCTTTAGTGGCTCGCGTTATTTTATTAGAACGTGCGTTATTTGTTTTCTGTGCCTTTCTGAATACAGACACCAACCCATCCCTGCACATCACATCCCCTGCACAGCCTGGAACATAACATTTATTTCCATGATCTGCCATTTTCGCTATTATCCTCGCTTGTTTCTTCACAATACCTGCAGAACTTCTGATGATTTGGCTGTGCAGGTTCGGCTGGCGGCTGACATAGAACATGGGCGGGTATATGCAAATTTTGAGGTCATCCCGACTGTAACGTCACAATCGGTGTTATGTTCTGATTCGCTTATTTTTCAGTGGTCTTTTGCATGCACGAGATTTACATAAGAAGGAGGAAACAATGGTGTTTGAGGCTCACGGTATGTCATTAACATGTACAGTTATTATTCAACTATGCCAAGGTAAATACAGTTTTCCATTCTATGGCACCTTTAAATGTTGTGGGGTTGTTCTTGGGTTATCCTAAAGACCAGCTTAATTTAGCAAAACAATCATTTCAGGGACATTGTGATATACAGGCTAATGTTTTCTGTGCATTAAAATAAAGGCTTTGTGAAACTGCACAGCTTTTCCAATTGAATTTGAGTTTATTTGACATAAAAAGTAGCAATCAACTGCATTGCAACTTCTTTGTCAAGGATAAAATAATAAAGTTGCATTAACTTATTTCCATTGTGGTCCTTGATTTTAGAAAATCCTTCTCATGACGATGGTTTCAGATAGATTTGAACAACATATATTCCATCCTACAATGACTACGAACACATTTCCTATCATGTATAACTATGAAAGAAGATTGAGCCAATCAGAGTAGGTATAGGGTGGAGTGACAAGTGCAGCCCCACCCCAGGTGCAACCCTGTCTCGTTCTGTAGGCTGCAACCAGGTGTACTTGTTCCGCCCCTTCCTGGAGCATGCACAGAAAGCCACATACTTGTTCGCCACTTAATGCGCTTTTAAAGGGGTCATATGATGCGATTTCAATTTTTCCTTTCTCTTTGGAGTGTTACAAGCTCTTGGTGCATAAAGAAGATCTGTAAAGTTGCAAAGACTAAAGTCTCAAATCCAAAGAGATATTCTTTATAAAAGTTAAGAGTTAACCACGCCTACCTAAAACGGCTCGTTCTAACACGCCCCCACATATCTACGTCACTATGTGGGAAGATTTGCATAACGCCGCCCAAATGTTCACGCAAAAAAAGAAGGCGTAACTTTTATTCTCACTGTAGTATTTGATGCCGCTGCCGCCATGTCGTGAAGGCGCTGTGTGCTTCGTTGTGAAAGCGAAACTACTTTGTTTGGTCTTCCAAAAGAGGACGATATCTGCTTCGTCATGCCAAGAGCTGATCTGTGCTGGTCGCTGAGGGAATACATCAACTTAGTGCTGTGGATCGCCGGATCGGCTTTCACCATGGACGAAGCGGAGTCCAGCCCGGGGTCGTCACATGTGGTTGCCGCTCCTTCGTCGAATCCGCCGGCCGCGCCGTTCTCAACCCCGCCACCTCTGCTCATTCTAGCCCGGCCTCAGCTCACGCTAGGCCGTGGTTTGCGCTCACGCTAGGCCGCCGTGTGTCTCGTTGTGAAAGCGAAACTACTTTGTTTACACATTTCATTACACCAAATACACAAAATAATGTTCTTTTTAGCAGCATCATATGACCCCTTTAATAACTTTTTTTTTTCAAACACATCCAGGGCCATAGCTGGGGTATGTGGGGCCCTGGTGCAGGTTGTAGCAGTGGGCCCTGCTTGAACAGACACCAATACATATCTATAATTATTTCAACACACAACAACCACAATCAAATCCCTAGAAGCTTGTGAATAGTTTTGTAGTGGCTGCATACAAGTTCTGCTAATTCACAAGCCAGTAGTTATATGGGCAAAGGTAATACTATGTGTGCAATGCGATTATTTTATTGAGTGATAGGCAGTGGGTTTAATCAGTGACATTATTATTAATAGATTTGCTATCAGGCACCTTCTTGTCACCTCCTCAACCTGCTTCACTTAGAAAAGGTGAAAAAACGTATTGCATGTTTCTCCCTGAACAATGATGTCAGTTACTATGGCAATTCTCAATGCAGCAGTTCAAAATGTTGCCATTGTAGGTCTTTCCAACAAAGGCAACATTCTTCACAATCACAACAGAAAATCAAAACACTGCCTTAAACCCAATAGCAGAAAGACAAACAATCCTCTTAATAAGGCATCTAAACAAAACAGTTACCCAGAATGCAACAGTGTAATGTCAGCCTCACATATAGAAACGGTTGGCGATATTGGCAAGATAACTGCAACCAAGTCCACTGAGGGCGAGTTGAATTAAACCCATGTGCAGTTTATTTAAAGCAACATAAATAAAACAAACAACCAAACCAGACAGTAACTTGACATACTGTAACTTGGCACAGACTTGAACTTAAAATTTTGAAACACTCACCAACAGCAGGTACAATTAACAAAGCTAGACAAGAGACAATAGGAACATTAGGGCTATATATACTGTATCAAACAATTTGAGTCACATGACATACACCAACCAAAGAAAATCTGACCCATACAACAAAGGAACCAAGAGAACAAGACACAAGAATTAAGGACCACATGGCAGGATCACATGACAGGGTAGGAACAAGACAAGAAAATACAAAATAAAAGACATGAAAACCTAAACAAGAAACAAAACCTAAAAACCAAAGTGACAACTTTTATGTAACAATAATAAATAGTAAGGGTATTTTCTTAGTTTGTCCAGTATGGAAAGCAAAACTGATAATGTTCGAGCTTATCGATACTACAGTCTTTCATAATTTAGCCCCAGGGCCCATTTAAAGTGATAGTTCACCCAAAAATTCAAATTTGCTGTTAATTTACTCACCCTCAGTCCATCCAAGATGTAGGTGACTTTTTTCTTCAGTAGAACAGTAAAAAAGATTTTTAGCTGAAATCATGGACCTTGGTGATTTATAAGATGCAACTCTGAGACTGCACGTTTTTGAGAATAAAAATATATCAAGGTACACAAAATTAAAACACGTGATTCCTGATGATATACTGCAATCTTATGAAGCGAAACGATTGGTCTGTGCAGGATACTGAATATTATTTACAACATTATTATCTGTAATCCATAGCCTCAGGCAACAGGGAGATATGATTCTTTTCTGCGAACTGGTTCTTTCGGACAGTTCAGTTAAATGAAAAGGTTCAATTCACTTGTTCAGTAATCATGCAATGCTGTAATGTATACATGTTATATTATTAAAGCATCCAAAATTGATGTAAAAACGTGGATGTTTTACATGTCTAAAGCAAATAAAGCTCACCTATTTACATAAACAATGAGAAACCATAACAAATTATTTTCGCCGTCTTCATTCAAGTGCTCGGTTCATGCATATTACCAGCTCAACGGTCTTCGGTCTGAGTTGGAACTCAGTTCAGTGACTGTTGGAGGAGCTGGAGCTCTGAATGAGTTGGCAAAACCAGCATCATAGAATCATCATTTTGGCTCATTTCGAGTCGGAGTGACTGTCAGGCACGTCTGAAAGCGAGTTTTGATTGAGTAACATATAGATCTGTGCTGCTAGAGCTGCAAACTAGTTCACCAGTTTCTTGCACAGCCCGATTGTTTTGCTTCATAAGACCTCAATATATCTTCAGGAGCCACAAATATTAATTTTGTGTTCCTTGATAAGCTTTTTTATTCTCAAAAACGTGCAGCCGCTGACTTGAATTATGTATCTCCAAGGACCACGGTTTCAGCTAAAAATCTTCTTTACTGTTCTACTGAAGAAAAAAGTCACCTACATCTTTGAGGGCAAGAAGGTGAATAAATTAACAGCAAATTTTCATTTTTGGGTGAACTATACCTTTAATATTGGGTTTCGGTACCCATAGCGATAATGTTATAACCAGCTTTCAGTGACAAATTCATCCCACAGAAAGTAACACTTTGCATGAAACAAACTAAACTTCTGACAAAACCCCTGTTTCCAAATATGTGCCTTTTCCATACTAAAGTAGTATACAAAAAACAGTACTTCAAATAATTTCATGGATATACTCACAATGAAGTTCCTTTTTATTCTTCATTTAGGGGTAAAAATAAGTTACAATTCCTTCACAGCAGTATACTGTTAGTTAACATCCCTACACCAACCATGCTGCTAAAACACTTAAATTTCTACTATAAGGCAGCCCTCCAGTGTTTATGTTTTTACTCACGGACATCTGACTTCGACGGACTCAACAGTGAAAACGAACCAGAGATTTCCACATCAAAGAGTGCAGAACCCCAGAGCTACCTATTATGTAATCGCCACGAACCAATGATAGTTCGAAGGTGTTTCCAGCTGGAGCAAACTTTTCGGAAAAGCTCATTTTGGCATGCTGTTTCGAATTCTGAAACAAACTCCAAACAAGCTTTGTTTTAGCTTGATTTTGTTCGAAACGATGTCACACCAATTCTTTCTTCGTTTTCCCTTAAAGTATATTGGACCTGAACTTCATTCAAATTAGTTTTGGCCTAATTTTGTCTGAAATTACGTAACACCAGTTCATTCTTCTGTTTAGCTTGAAGCATATCAGGGCCTTTAAGATGGCTACATACACAGTATTCATGAAATAGTGCGTGAACAATAAACATTAGAAATGACTGTCTGTCCACAGTCTAAAGGTGTGGTCACATTAGCAAAATTATGGCAAAATTTTCCTGGCAAAAAAGGTGTATTGTCTATTGTCAATTGTGTAGCAATGCATGAAGCACCACTTACACAGAAGCCACTTTCAAACCCAGGGAATTTGCATGACCAACTTGAATACGAGAAAACTTTTTTGCCCTCACACTAAACTCCCTTACATGCAGATTCCACACACAAAATTTTACAGAGCAACAAAAAATGTGACTGTATTTTAATATCTTATTAGGCTGTCCAGTGAAATATTCCGCCATTATAAAAGTCCTGCTTCCAATCACATTAAAGTTGAGTTCATGTAGCATTAGCTGGTCCAAAGTCTGTTTCCTATAAAGTTCATGTCCTGTTTTATTCGGAAAAGCTCTCTGTCTGTCTGCATTTTTTTTGTCAAAGCAATGTCTGTCGGAGAGCTAATTTATAGTCTGTTTGTTCAAACTAGCTATAGAGCTAGATTGAACAAACAGATCAACTGTTCACCATTTCTATATTCGTATAATATGAAACTATAAAAAAGCAAACCTAAAGTAACCTAAAGTAGATACGCAAATCAGTCAGGATGGGCTCTACTTGTGTATGGGCATAGGTTGAAAGCAGAAGTGTGCAATAAGATGACTCCTTACCAGTTCCACATGTGGTGCTACACTCAGTCCAAGCCCCATAAATCCACTGGAAATAAGAGACAGCAGTGCCATTGTTGGAGTCGACAAGAGTGTCTCTGCTTATGGTGTACTCATACCTCACCCCTGGATTGGTCTCTTGAAAAAGCAGCTGGAGAACATTGAGGGCAGATTAAAGAGAAAGTTTGACACAAGAACACACAACATACAAACCCACAAATCTCAGACGTAGAATCCAGGGCAATGCCAAACATATCAATATATCAGGATTCTATGACATTGTATTGGTTACATGTCCAATTAATGAAGAAGCAGTTTCTACAAATGAGCAGATTTGGAAAGTTGTGAAAAAAAGAAGAAAACTGTGAGACAAGTGCTATGAGTACCAGGAAAGTTGTTCTCTGGGGTTAATTTTCTTGTTTAATTTCACCCATGTACATTACATTCACTGTCAAAAGATATTGGTAATATGTCATAACAACAATCACGAAGTTCTTCATTGAATACAGTACATTTGAAATGATAGAATAGTGGATATAGCAACATTCTTTTTAGCACACGTTTCAATTTATTGTGATACATTGCAGCTTACCTAATTGTGACTGTATGAATGTATTATATTGTAAGGCAGTTGCCAGCCCATAATGTAAATTGTTACATATTTAGGAGTTTAGACCAGCAACTATTGTAAAAGATTTGAAAATGTGAAATCTGATTGGTGGTACGAAGTAGTACAAGATATTTCCCTAACAGATGAACCGCCATATAATTATGACAGATTTTTTTTTGTATTTGCACAGCAAAACCAAAAATGTTAGGTTGTAAGCTGCTTTCTTGCACATGAGATTAAAGAATATGGAGAGAGATAAGAGAATATGTCATTTGTCTGCCTCCCGCTGCTGTAGACATCCCTCTTTCTCCACCTGCGACAAGGCTGCGAGCCAAAGGCCTCGAATTGCTCTGTGGGTCAAGGTCCTTTATCTAGAAGGCCCCTCTGCTACACATACTAGCCTAAATCCCTAATAAACAGTATCTTCACTTTAATGGTGCTAAAACATGAAAACCCATGGCTACTGTGTTAATAAAACCCAGTCCGCTAATGATTAAATTTGGGAATAAGCCTTTTATGCAATAAATTCAATCATTAAATCCAGTAAATCTTCAAACATATTTTGCTTTTTAAATTAGGAATGGAATAAAATCATACATTAATCTTTTAATGATTTCACTTTCCCTGTCAGATAAAACTGTTCTGTTGTCTCAGTTCAAATATTTATTGTTGAAGGAGACACAAAAAGAAAAACAGCAGAATTCCATACATTTATGTGTATATTTATTTGTAGAAGTCTTTGCATAAGCAGATTAGGCTCTGTTCTGAGAAATTTGCAGATTTAATTATTCATAAAGAATAGGCCTGTTATCCTAGTGCTAGGCTTAGTGTTTGAAGCTGTACATTTTTCCCTGGGGAACTGTCACGGGATGCTACTGTGAGGAGCATGGAGCGAGGAATGAGGAGACACAGAGTCCAATTCAAACATATAGTATTTTAATAATATCCAAGGGAACAGGAAAACACACGTAGCAAAGGTTGACATGAACAATTCCAGACAAGGGAGAACAGAACGGGCTGGAACTCAAATAGGCCAGATAACGAGGGGCAGCCAGGTGAAGAGGATAACTAATAACAAGGAACAGGTGACTACTAATAAGGAGAACAGGAACCAAACCAAATAAGGACAAACAGGAACATACCCGTGACATTACTCCCCCCTGGTGGCGGGGGGGTGGGCGCCCTGGAGGCTGGTGCAAGACAGGTACACAGGGAAGGTCTCCAGGGCGGATCAGGCAGTCCGAGGAGCCATGGTGGATCAGTGGACTCGGGAGGCCATGGCGGATTGGGCAGTTCAGGGGGCCATGGCGGAACAGGCAGTTCGGGGTGCCATGGCGGAGCAGGGAGCTCTGGGAGCAATGGCAGAGCAGGTAGACTAGGAAACCATGGCGGAGCAGGCAGACTAAGAAGCCATGGAGGAGCAGGCAGCTCAGGGAGCCATGGCGGAGCAGGCAGACAAGGGAGCCATGGCGGAGGAGGGCAGACTAGGAAGCCATGGCGGAGCAGGCAGTTCAGGTTGCCATGGCGGAGCAGAAGACTCAGGAGGCCATGGCGGAGCAGGCAGTCCAGGAGGCCATGGTAGATCAGGGGACTCAGGAGGCCTTAGCCGGCTCGGCCACCATGGCCTCGGGCATATGCCCATCCCCCCTCCCCCCCCCCCCCCCCCAGACAAGGGAGAACAGAACGGGCTAGAACTCAAATAGGGCAGATAACGAGGGGCAGACAGGTGAAGAGGATAACTAATAACAAGGAACAGGTGACTACTAATAAGGAGAACAGGAACCAAACCAAATAAGGACAAACAGGAACATACCCGTGACAGGAACACAGTCTGTTCTCTTTTTTCGTAAAAGAAGTTGTTTGTATATCTTTCCATGTGAGACGTTAAAGTATAACGTTTACCATTTTAAGTCTCTATTTAAACTCTAAACCACATTTCAGGCATTGATTCACTCAACTGTGACCTAGTTTAGCAGAGCACTTTAGCAGGTGTCTCTGAAAAGAGACCACAAACATAACATGCTAGATTCTGCTCAAATGCAGTATCTGAGACTTTAGCATGGGACTTAGTACCTGAATCCACACTGGCTCCATGGTCGGTCCGGGGGAAGATAGGTTTTCCAGCTGCCCGGTCCTTTCGTAAGTGAATACTGTTCCTGCTGCTTTATACTCGCCATTCCACTGGATCGTCCAGCCACCGTTCAGGAAATATTTTTCAGGGTCATTACTGCGTAATGCCAAGTAGTTCCCAGCCTCTGCGACTTCCTCAATACGGATGTCCCGTGCTCCTTCTGGAATTAGACCTATGTCTACATAGCCTGGGAGACAAAAATATACCTTGGCTTATTCAAACAAATGAACTAGAAAGAAAACAAATGTGTAATGTTATATTTATAATATGAATGCTGCTTTCAGTAAAATATAAACTGAGACTCATTTTACAAACCGAGCCCTTCACTGTCCTCAAAGGTCTTCCTCACTGTCTCGCATGTAGATCCATTTCCATGGCACACTCCACATTGATCCTCAACGGCATCTGAGTCAATCTCATAATCACAGCCTAAGTACTGACATGAAGAGACAGATCATAACGTAGTACATTGTTTAACTTTCATCCCACTTAAATATATACACATTTCATAACTTTCATCCTATTTAAATATATACACATTTCAAACTATATATTTTAGCATGCCAACAGAGTGCTGCGCATGTGCATAGGGAACCACTGATTAAGGCACAAGAGGGAACCCGCAATCAATCAAAGATCAAATAAAACAGAATGATGAAGAACAAAAATAGTGAAGTAGTCCTTAGATGCCATGTTCTTTATAGCAGCATTTTGGAGAAATTACACTGTGGAGAAAGGTGCTGAATGAAAGGAATATATCACCAAAATTAAAATTTGCTTAAACTTTACTCACCCTCAGGCCATCCAAGACGTAGATGAGTTTGTTTTAGAACTGTTTACACTTGTAAACAGTGCTTGATCTGTGCAAATTTCTCTCCTGATTGAGATGACTTTTTCACAGCAGAAAGCAACATTACAGATAGAGGACTCACATTTTAGCTGCAAGCAGTGGTTTGAAGTTAAAAACGAATTGTGTATAATAAACACGCAGCTTTTCACTCCACAATTGGACTAGAGTTGTGTGGATTATTGTGATGTTTTTATCAGTTGTATGGACTCTCATTCTGATGGCATCCATTCACTGCAGAGGATCCTTTGGTGAGAAAGTGATGTAAATGTTAATTTTCTCCAAAATCTGTTCAGCTGAAGAATCAAACTCATCTTCATCTTAGATGGCCTGAGGGTAAGTACATTTTCAGCAAATTTTCATTTTATATATACTGTATATACAGTCTAGTACTGTGCAAAAGTCTTAGGCCACCACCAGCTTTGTTGTTTTAGCAAAGTTTTAATGACTATACGTATTAATTTTTCAGTCTCTTTATTAAGATACAAACAGAAAATATGTACACAAAACCTAAAAAACACAATTCCCTTTCAGTCGGTCACTTCTGACGTCACGTCGGGAACGACGAATTGGGAATGTAGCCAGAGAGAACAATCTACTTCGAGTGTAACTAAATGAGCCAATGCACATTGGCATGCGATATTTCCATCTGACTGCTACGCCCCACAGCGCGGGTATAAATAGGCAGCAGGTGCAATGCATATTCAGCTTTTCGCTGAGGAGCTGAGCGGTTCATTTCTCTGCTCTAACCAAAAAGCTGATAGTGTTGCTACAAGAGCCAGTTGTGGCTGCACAGAGGCAGACGGAGGCCATTAGACACATCCTGCCCCGGCAGAAAGCTGCTGGGTCCACCCGACCACTGGCCGCAGCGCTTCAGTCTGCTCGTTGGCCCTGCATCTGCCCCCGCTCACACGCAGCAGCAGCCTCCACCCAAGCAGCACCGTGGACCCAGTCTCAGACAGGGCGACCAGCCCATCCAGGCCCCCGCCAAACCTAGTGGTAAGAGTAAGAGCAAGAGGCCCTGAGATGTGCGACCCAGAGATGGAGGGAGCAGCTCTTCGGGAGATGGTGACTGCACCACTCCCACCCCCGGAGGAGTGCCGGGTGGAGAATCTTTTGTTTCAGTTTGTTTCTGTTCCGCCGCTGGCCCTACAGCCAGTGGTACCAAAATTTTCAAAGAAAGAACAAAAAAGTTTCCTCTGTCTCTGGGTCTCAAGATGGCACAGAGAGCGGTGGACGGAGCCGTACCACTCTCATCCTACTCTTTTGTCAGCGGGCAGCATTGGGTGGTTCGAGAACACAGCCAAGCATCCTCACGCACCCTCTGCCCAGCCGTGGAACCAGGTAAGTGCTGCACCACACACTCAGATCCCGCTTTGGGCCGCCACGGAGCACCCCAACCCAGGTCCCTGCGTTCCACCTCGCTGCCCCACTGCGGGTACATCTATGGATCCTTTGGTTGGTCCTGCATGGTCTCTGAGAGCCTGGCTAGAGCTCCCCAGCTGGTCTCACTGGCTTCTTTCAGATCATCAGACTCAGCTATGCGATTCAGTTTGCCTGGCATCCCCCCAAGTTCAGGGGCATCCAGTTCACTTCAGTGAAGGCTGGCAATGCTCATGTCTTGCGCATGGAGATCGGAATCCTACTGGCAAAGAACGTGATAGAATCGGTCCCTCCTACTGCATTGTACCCAAGAAAGGCGGTGGATTACGGACGATCTTGGACCTGAAAGTTTTGAACGAGCACTTCACAAGCTACTGTTAAAAATGTTGACGCAGAAAAGCATTTTCGAATGCATCCATCTCCCAGATTGGTTTGCAGTGATCGACCTGAAAGATGCGTACTTTCATGTCTCGATTCTCCCTTGACACAGGCCTTTTCTGCGCTTTGCATTTGAGGGTCGAGCTTATCAGTACAAGGTCCTGCCCTTTGGACTGTCCCTGTCTTCCCATGTCTTCATGAAAGTCGTGGAGGGGGCCCTTGTTCCCATGAGAGAACACGGCGTTTGCATTCTCAATACTGTGCTCATACTGGCACAGTCACGAGATCAGTTGTGCGATCACTGGGACCTAGTGCTCGGTCACCTCAGTCAGTTGGGTCTTCGGGTCAACTGGGAAAAGAGCAAACTCTCCCCTGTGCAGAGGATCTCTTTTCTCAGGATGGAGCTGGATTCGGTCGAACAGACAGCATGCCTCACAGAGGAATGTGTTCAGTGGGTGTTGAACTGCTTGAATTCGTTCAAAGGCAGGACTGCGGTCCCAATGAAAATATTTCAGAGGCTCCTGGGGCATATGGCATCCGCGGCGACAGTAACACCGCTTGGTTTGCTTCATATGAGACCTCTTCAGCACTGGCTTCAAGACTGAGTCCCTAGACAGGCGTGGCAACGTGGCATTCACTGGGTGAAAGTCACACTGGCCTGTCGCCTAACCTTCACCTCGTTGATGGACCCTTCATTCCTTCAGGCAGGAATGCCCCTAGAACAGTTGTCCAGGTATGCTGGTGTGTTCACAGATGCCTCTGCCACCGGATGGGGGGCCATGTACAATGGGCATGCAGCATCAAGGGTTTGGATGGGTCCCCAACTGCATTGGCATATCAACTGCCTCGAGTTGCTAGCAGTACGTCTTACACTTCGTGCCATTCACATCAGAGGAGCACTCAATTGTGTGGCTGATGAGCTCTCACGAGCTGCGCTTCCGGGAGAGTGGACACTCCATTTCCAGGCAGTCCAGCTGATTTGGAGATGTTTTGGAGCCGCTCAGGTAGATGGACGCTCTGGCACACAGCTGGCCCTGGGGTCTGCGCAAATATGCATTGCACCCAGTGAGTCTGCTTGCACAGACACTGTGCCAAGTCAGGGAGGACGAGGAGCAGGTCTTGCTAGTTGTGCCCTATTGGCCCAACCAGACCTATTTGCCAGAACTCTGGCGACAGCCTGGCGACAGACAGAATCTCCTGGCAACAGCCCCTCCCTGGTGGATTCCTCTAAGAGACGGAACACCCTATGACTTTCTCAGAGATGGGGCACCCTATGCCACCCACGTCCGGACCTCTGGAAACTCCATGTCTGGTCCCTGGACGGGACACGGAGGGTTTAGGTGACCTACCCCAGGAGGTAGTGGATACCATCACTTCGGCACAAGCACCATCTACGAGACAAGCTTACGCCTTGAAATGGAACCTGTTCATCGAGTGGTGTACTTCTCACCGAGAGGACCATTGAAAATGTTCGATCAGGGCCGTGCTTTCCTTCCTGCAGCAGGGGTTGGAGCGAAGGCTGTCTCCGTCCACCCTCAAAGTTTATACTGCTTGGCATATCACGACCCCATAGGAGGTGGGTCGGTAGTGAAGCACGACCTGGTTGTCAGGTTCCTTAGAGAGGCAAGAAGGTTGAATCCTCTTCGTCACCCCTCCAAACCCTCTTGGGACTTGGCTCTGGTGCTTAGAGCAATTCAGATTGTCCCATTTGAGCCTTTGCAGTCAGTAGAGCTAAAGATTCTATGAATGAAAACTTTGCTCGTGGTTGCACTGGCTTCGATCAAGAGGGTAGGGGACCTGCAGGCATTTTCGGTTGACGAATTGTGCCTGAAGTTTGGGCTGCCTGACTTCAATGTAATCTTGAGACCTCGGTCTGGCTACATGCCCAAGGTTCCTACCACTCCCTTCAGGGACCAGGTGGTGAACCTGCAAGCGCTGCCCCTGGAGGAAGCAGACCCAGCCTTAGCTTTGCTCTGTCCTGTTCGCGCTCTGTAAGTGGACTGAACACAAAGCTTCAGGACCTCAGAGCAGCTCTTCGTCTGTTACAGAGGCCAGCAGAAGGGAAAGGCTGTTTCCAAGCAGAGGATGGCCCATTGGATAATAGATGCCATCGCCTTGGCTTACCAAGCACAGGGCATGCCCTACCCACTGAGGTTGCAAGTTCACTCTACCAGGAGTGTTGCATCCTCCTGGGCACGTGACACCTCGCTGACAGATATTTGCAAAGCTGTGGGCTGGGCGACACCCAACACATTCGCTAGATTCTATAACCTTTGTGTTGAGCCAGTATCCTGTGTTCTCACTTCAAATGGGTAGAAGCACCGAGAAGCCCCGGCTTGCTGCATCATAGTGTGCTATTTTTTGCCTCAGAGAGTTCCCTATTGGGCAAACCCTCCTTGAGTTCCTCCACCACGTTCGGCAGCCAGACGTGGCGGAGTGTCTGGAGCCAGGCCTTTACTTGCTGTATTCTTGAAAACCGGTGAAAGGCTGGGTGCCCATACGTACTGTCCCTGAGGGGATCCGATATGTGTATTCTTCCATGCCCACTCTGCCATCTCTGCAAAGGTGTAGCCTCTTTAAGCCACCCCAGAGACTTCTATATGCAGTAAGGCCCTACGGGGTTATTCCATATATGTAAATCTCACTTAGAACCTCCCTGTGGAGGATGTGGCTTCTGCAGCATTTCTTTCCCGCTGGAAAGGGCACACTTTCCCAGTGTTATCCAAGTGTCACTGATCATCACTGTCAGTGATCATCCTTCTCTGCATAAAGCCCTGTCCCATCTTCTGCTAATAGCAAGAGATCGGGAGGCTTATGCAGGGCACTGGAAGGGGCAGCACCAGTGGCGCTTTGGTAGGGATTCCCGACGTGACGTCGGAAGTGATTGACTGAAAGGGAATGTCTCGGTTACTTGCTTAACCCTCATTCCCTGAAGTCACGTCCTGTTGCCACAGTTGCTGTACCACCACTGAGCGGCTGGGCCACCGGCTCGGCTCCTCAGCGAAAACCTGAATATGCGTTGCACCTGCTGCCTATTTATACCCGCGCTGCAGGGCGTGGCAATCAGATGCAAATATCGCATGCCAATGTGCATTGGCTTGTTTAGTTACACTCGAAGTAGATTGGTCTCTCTGGCGAGATTCCAAATTCGTCTGTCCTGACATGATGTCTCCATTCCCTCCTTCAGGGAATGAGGGTTACGCAAGTAACCAAGATGTTTTCATAACAAAATGGCTTCTTCAGGCAGAAGTCAGTATTTAGTGTGACCTCCCTTATCACTAAGTACATCTTGAACTCTTTTGGGGAGACTGTCCTGAAGTTTTCTGGAGTAATCTTCTTATATATTATACCAGGCTACTTTCAGCAGTTCTTCTTTAGATTTAGGCTGTCTTTTATGTCTTTCTCTGTCCAGGTGATCCTATACTGCCTCTATAATATTTAGGTCTAAACGTGTATGGCCTCTGTGGAAGCCAGTCCATGACTGTTAGTGTTTTTCTCTCCAAATATGATTTCACTGCATTAGCAGTGTGCTTGGGATCATTATCATGCTGAAAAATAAAATAATTCCCAAATCAGGTGCATTCCAGAAAGAACGGCATGATGAATTAAAACCTGTCTGTACTTTTCAGCATTCATGATCCCAGCTATTCGGACAATATCGCCAACACCACTAGCAGAAATGCAACCCCAAACCAGGACAGATCCTCCACCATGTTTTACAGCAGGTCGCAAGCACTCATTCTTCCATCTCTCTCCAACTCTTCTTCTCACATACTGTTGACAATTAGGTCCAAATTTTAAAACTTGGACTTGTCACTTTATAATACTTTTTTTCCAGTCCAATCTTTGTTAGCTTTAGCATTTCTTAGCCTTTTCACCCCTCTTCTGAAAAAAATGTGTTTTCTTGGCTACTACCCTTCCACAAAGACCACTCCTGATCAAGCTTCTTTAGACTGTAGAAGGGTCAATCTGGCATCCCGATGAAGCTGCCAGATGCCAAGGTCCCAGCTTCTTCTGGTCTCTCAAAGAAGAAACTCTTCTCATCAGATTTTTAAAGTTTTCTTGGCCTTCCAGTCCTTTTTCTGTCCTTGAGCTCTCCTGAGTCTTCAAATTTCTTGAATACCACATCTTGGGTATCCAGTTTGTTTGTTGCTGATTTCCCTTTGAGAGTAGCCTTGCTGATGCAAAATTACGATTTTATGTCTGTCAAATTCTGTGATCTTTGGCATTTTGAATGGTATGATGTTACTGAAAGTTGGCAGTTGTGGCCAAATGTTTAGAGAGTCGGACTTGTAACCATTAGGCCACAACTGCCCATCGCCATTTTGTGGAGAGCATGGTGTAAGGCTAAGTGCTGATTACCTTGATGCAGCCAGATCAGAAAAGCATTATCAGAACACTCTGCAGGTGGTTGAGGCAGACCGGAAGCTGAGGCACAACCTAAGGAATAAGATCATTGCAAACAGTTGTGGCCTAATGGATAGAGTGTCAGACTTGCAACCTGAAGGTTGTGGGTTCGGGTCTCAGTACCGGCAGGAAATGAAAGTGGGGGTATTGAATGAACAGTGCTCTCTTTCACCCTCATTATCCACAATTCAATATCCTCAATACCCTCTCCCACACTCAGCACAGTCGTTCACATCAAAATGGTGGTGGAAATGGGTACATAAGTAAAGAAAATAAATAATAATTTAAAAAAATACACCAGAAAGGCACCAAACCCCCAAATGCTCCTGGGTGCCACAGCAAAAATGGCTGCCCACTGCTCCGGGTGCGTGTGTCCCACTACTCATTGCTGTGTGTGTGTGCACTTGGATGGTTAAATGAATGGCCAAACAATGAATGATATTCCCTCCCTCAATTAGAATGTTTGGTGGGTTTTTCCTTTAGTAGCATCTGCTAGGTGATCATTGTACGTAATCTTAAGTGCTTAGAAAAGTAACAACTCTCCTCAATACATTTCCACAGTTTTACTGTCTACAGTAGTTTCACAGGGTTATGGGTTGGTTCAGTGAAATTGAAAATGTTTGTAGTCTACTAAATATTTAACTTCATTATTGTATGAAAGAACAAAACTGCATTAAAAAAAATAGCTTCCTCCTCTGCACAACAATACCGTATGAGAGTTTCAGCCTGGGGTCATACAAGTACTCATTCAAATATTTATTTGAATTAAGTTCGAGAAGAAGAGAGTGGAAGATTGTTTGCTCACACGTTCTCATGATTTCACACCCCAGTTTTTGTGAGACTCTTGTGGTATTATTTCACAATAGACTGACCCTCAAGCTGACAGACCATCAATGGAAAATGACAAGTAGAAATTTACACGGACAGTCTGAGACGGAGCAAAGAGGTCAAAGCCATTACCAACCTTACAAATTCCGTTAATGCAAATGTCGCGGCTCTGACTGCCCTCATAGCACTGTGTTCCATCTACAACAGTGTCCAGCATCCTCTCAGAAAAGTGCTCATTCACAGGTCTACAGTGCAGCTCACACGGATTAACTGGAATGACACAAACATAACCCTTCTGTGACATCTATTTAAAGAGTGCTAGGACATGAAAACTCCCATTCTTGCCCCAGCACACTACGTGAGTGGCACATGTAGTGCTATTATGCGCACCTCTGTTATTTACATGTATCCATTTATAAAACTTTCCCTTATAAGGGAGTGTGTTAAAGTGGCTGCACTGGATGTGTCTGAAGCTGTGGTCCGCAGGGCAGGGGTCACGGTTACAGGTTTGATATCTGCGGCGCTCTCCGAGACAGTATTTACCTCCATACTTGGGTCTAAAAAACAAATGCATTAAATATTTAAAATGTCATTAAGTCCTTTAAAATCTGTATATACAACATGTTTATGTATACATAAGCACAAAAAATACATATAATAATACGTATTAGTCTAAAGTTTAAAAAGCCAGTCTAAAGCTTAAGCTTAGAAAAATCTTTGCCATGACTAGATCACCTTGTCAGAGCAGCTACTGGCTCCAAATGCAATTATGCTCTGTTATGTTGTTATGTTATGTTATGATGTTTATTTTATTTTATTTATATAAGGAGTAGTTGACCCAAAAATTAAAAACTGTAATTTTGTCTTTGTAAAAACACAAAAGAAGATATTTGAAGATTATTTCAGCTCTTGTTGTCCATATGATGCAAGTCAATGGGGTCCACAAGCTCACTGGTGCTTGTGTCATGTAATGTCAGGCAATAACCAATGAGGTTTGATGTTACTTTTGATTTTGTCATTTAATTTGGGCTCTGTATGCATGATTTGATAAACGATTTGATTTGAGAGTGAATAAACTTAAATTTGGTTCTGTTCATTAAGGAAACTGAACGTATTTTTTTCAGAAGACCAGTGAATTAAACTGCTGGATTACTTTTACGCTACCTTTCTGTCCTTTTTGGAGTTTGTGAACTTGGACCCCACTGGCTTAATTTGTATGGACAAAACATTCTTCAAAATATCTTCTTTTTGTGTTCCGCAGAAGAAATAAAATCATAAGAGTTTGGAGTGGCATGAGGCTGAGAAAATGATGGCAAATATTTTTTGGGTGAACTACTGTTGCAATGCAGTTGCAAGGGGTTTCTGGATGGTTGCTAGATGGTTTCCTAGCAAAGTCAAAAGAGCCCACCTCAATGCATTCACAAGCTGATTGTGTCCGAACAGGTATCCCAATAATAACTCTTCTGCCCACCCTCAGCTATCATTATTCAGGTAAACATGTAACTCTGTCCCAAACTCACACCATTGGTTGAGCCTGAAATTGATATGTGTAATTAAAGCATGACTTGGTTACCTTCTTGGCAAAATCCACCCACAAATGGCTTACTCATAGAGTAGCTGTTCCTGTACATTAAACTGGGACAGGAGAAAGTATTCATGGGTTTATCTTCCCCAAAAGTGTAAACATGGAGACTCCCAGGCACCATCAATGCATTTAGAGCAGTCCGCACAGATCCGTCAATCTCTTTCCAGCTGAACCAATAGCTAGAGTTTGATGTGTGTCTACTGTAGTAGGCTGAGCCAGAAGGTGTTTAACTGGTGTGGGATCATGGCTGACTTGTTACATGGGAAAATAATTCAGATTCGGGTACAGAAGTGCTAGCCAAAATTCAAAGACTTGCCATAATATGCAGAAACAGGCAACGGGGAAAAACATGGGTAAACAAATGATGCTTTTACAACATGTAGGAATTTGATGGAATGTTTGGGTTTCGGTTGAGAAACTCTAGAAAAAAAAGTACTAAGTACATAGTAGAAGTGGTGAAGAATAGAATAGTGGTAAGATCTTTTTTCCCACATCCTTAAAAAGTTCTTCTGATATACGACGCAGATGTTGCACATGTTTTCCATCAATTACAACATCTTAGAGATGCATTCACAAGTGGCTCACAACCTGGTTCTATAGCTAACCATTTCCATTTTTGAAAACTTGCTTGGGGTGCAAATCATCTGCCAGGATAAAGAATTACAGTCCAAGCCAAATATAATGAAATGGTTATACTTCATAAACTCTAAACGTTTGGACCAGAGACAGTGACTTTTTTATTGGTCTAGTGAGGCTCTCTGACACTGTATGGGTTCTGAATTTCTCACCATTTAACAATTTGTGGGAACCGCAGAGACCCTAGAATGCCATTGAAGATGACTGAAAATATAAAATAAATGATAATTACATGCATGAAACCCCAAGCACATTATGTTGACATGGTGGTGAGAAATAAATGCAATCACTTCCTCATCGAATGCTAGCCTAGAATATGATAAAAAAAGCTATTCAGAGTTTTGTGAATTTGTGGACCCCACTGGAGACTACTGTTGCTATGCAGTTGCTAGGGGGTTCTAGATGGTTGCAGGTATCCTACTAACATTTTTTGTAAGATTTTTTTTTAATTCTGACATGCTGGTGAGAAATAAATGCATTAATTTCCTAATCAACCATAAACATACTAGTCTTTTCCTATACGATCTACAATAAAAATAGTTATTCTCATGGCTTGTGGTTTATCATAGTAAAGTGAGTGAGCACAAATTGTGTGTGTGTGTGATTTTCTGAAACTGGAAATGAAGGAAATCAGGAAACTCACACAGGGTTGACGCAGTCCCTCTGGGCATTCTGAACGCCTACACCGCATGTCCTGGTGCACTCGGACCACTCGCTCCATGAATCCCAGCCACCATTCACGCTTTCAGGCTGGAAGCCCATCTCTACACACTCCCTGTCAAAACACCACTGACCAAAAAAGAAAAAAAAAAAAATTCCAACCAAGGCTTTCAGCTAGTCAGAGTACAAGGCATTATAAAGGAGAACTAAGTGGTGAACTTCATGTGATGAAATGAAAAGCCCACAGAAAGCCTGGCTTGCCTTGCCCTCACCGCACTTGGTCCCGTCCACAGCGCCATCCAGCCTTGAGTGGCAGGTTGAGCCCACTGTGCACCACAGGGTGCTGCAGATATTCTGAAGGGTAGAATCATTTAAGAATAATTAAGAATAGTTCAAAGCTACATAAAATGTTATTATAAATGTTTTAGAAGTGTCTTTATTCCTTATCTATACAAGCCCATTTTTACCACTGAAAAAAAAAAATCTCACAATTCAGTCTTTTTATATTTCATAGTTTGGACCTTTTTTATTGTAATTCTGAGGGGGAAAAAAAACTATATAGAACTATATATACAAATTTTCAGAATTGTGAAATCTAAACTGATGAGTCATATCTCACAATTCTAACTTTTTTTCTCAGAATTGCGAGATAAAAAGTCTGAACTGTAAAATAAAAACTCAGAATTATGAGAAAAACAATCCAACTTGTGAGATAAAAAGGGTCACAGTTACTTGATTTTTTTTTATCCTGTGGCGGAAACAAGCTTTCATACTTATCTATATTTATGTTGTGTTAAATTGTTGTATACTATTTAAACAAAAGTTATGTTAAGTGTCAAGTGGTGTAATTGATAAATAACATATACTGTAAGTGTTCGTATTTTCAAGATGTTAGTTTACACAAAAAAAAATGTACACCTGCTCGCAACCATGGGTAAACGGTGTGTAAAACATTTTAGGCAAACAATGACATTTTGATATCACTATGTACTATAAGAATATTATGTTTCCAGTAGGCAATTTTAAGCAGTTGATGTTAAACTTATTTGGCTTGCTGTCTGCAGTGGAGGGGCTTGAAGAAGCAGCTTCAACTTGAGTTTTGATACCCCCAGGGAATGCTAGTGCTTGAAAGTTAAGTTTGGATGGATACTTAAATTATATTGGCGGTGCTAGGGAGGCAGCAGGATGCCGAAACAGCTGATGTTGGAGCAAGGTTGGAGGAGTGCTGCTCAAGCTCCAGCAGTTAATTGAAAGATTAGAATTCAATTTCTATTTCAAATTGCGTTTAGGAATTTCATATAATAACAAAATTAATTAGGTAATCAATTAGTAGATATTTCATAGATAAACAAAAATGATCTGTCTGCATGCTTAACACTTTCATGATCTGATTACAGAACAATATAGCCAATTAGTATTTTTGCATTTGCACAATATACTGGAGCAACATTCAGAGATCATGGGCTGGGATTATGCTAATTGTGAATGATGAGCATCCTATTAATGACTTATTGGAATTTATTAACACACACATTTCTGATCTCTGAACACACACATTTCTGAGGTTTATGATGTTTTTGTGATTTCGAAGGAGAGGGATTTTTGGGGGGATGAGATCCATTGACTTTTAAGGAAATGTAATTGATAGACAAAAGTTTAAGTAATATTTAAATATAAGACACTTTTAAATACAATATTTTACTTTTAAAAGTATAATATTTTTTTCAAGACTTTTAGCCCTTTTTTAAATGCTGTCCAAAAATGGAAAATATTTTCATCACAGAACATGTCGTTGTCTGTAAAAAATACTGTATATTATTATTATTATTATATAATTTTTAATGTGCTTTTTAAATATATGAATAGATCTGGACATAACAAATGAGTTTCACATCACTGACATTTTAAATGTCACACTGAGAAATTAGGAAACTGCATGTGCTTTATTTGAGGTCTCCTATGGAATCTTGAAATGCATGGAGTTGTGTACTGTAAATTGTTTAATGTTCTCCTAAACTTTTGGGAAATGGCAAACCTTGTGTGTTGTGCACCAAACACAAACATTCATTGCATTTCTAAACCTCTGCAATTTCTTCTGGTGTAATTTCTTGAACTGTAACTGCCCTGATAAGGAAACTGAAGTCTGGCTTTGTCTGTGTCCGAACGACAGAGTGCAAACTCTTTTACTGTGTCTGTGACATTTGGCCAATAATTGAAAGATGTTCAGTATCTGCCAACAGCTGCTGCAGAAAGCACAGAGCACATTACTGATGTGATTTGACATAACCAACAACAATTCTGCAATCTGATGCCCTTTTCCCTATTTTAATTCTGCAGGATGCCAAATGTAAATGGGATATGTTGGCTTTCCCCCTCATTGTTCAGCTAGCTTAGGTGAAAAAATTGTGATTTCAAGGTAAAGAGCTCTTTATGTTACATGGTTTACAAAGCAGCTATTCTATTTGGAACATAAGCCCTGCTATACTAATGATGTGATTTTCCCACTAAAACAGCTGGGAATCAGATGGTACTGATGTAAGAAGAAACTGAGACTCCCGCAGTGATGGAAAAGTGTGTGTGTGGTCTATGCCTTACCAGACACTTGAACTAATAGAGGTTTTTGTTGTTCACAATTTAACAGTGAGACATTTAAAGTAGCCCATGGGCCTGGAAGTACATTAATTGCTAAATGGAATAGTTTCCTAATGAGATAAAATTCAGAAAAGCATCTCAACCAATCTCTTTGTTGAAAAGACCAGCATGGCTGGCTGTTGTGTTTTGGATGCTGGGGTGCTGGCATTGCCAATTAAATATACTGATTAAGCACGCTGAAAAAATGGGAAAACATATTAACATATTATCTGATTTATTCTATCAAATTATTTATTATCTACACAAAAAATTGTGTTGTGCATCATCTTGGCATTTGAAGTACACTTTTTTCTTTTTGGAATTTTCAGTGTGAACACACTAATCACACAAATGGCAACTATATTAAAAAAACTGCATAGAATAGAAAATAAGTATGCAAACCATATAAAATTACTTTGACACAACTTACTTTGGTCACTTAAAAATAACCATTAGATAATGTTGAATTGAGGTATTCGTAGGTTTAAGGGAAAATCTTACATCTACATCGTCACAGAGCAGTGAGCTGGATCCGTACTGGAACTTGCACTGATGAGCAGCGCTGTACAGGACACCAGGGGGAGCAGAGTCCATCTCCAGATCGTCTCTGACAGGAGGGTCATCCAGACACCAGCCCCAGCCTCGACTGTGAGGAACATGACAAAAACACACCACATGCAGAAAAATACTCAGGCAAAGGTTTCTGGTTTTGGTGCAATTCATTCTCAGATTAGTACTTTCATAGGGTGCAATAATAAAGTATGGTAACTGAACAGCCTCTTAGATCTTGTTGTATTTTACTTACAGTTTAAATGTTAGATTTATTAACGATTTGCGCCATCACAAACCCTGCTTTGGCATTAAAAAAAATAATAAATTCAGGATTTACTAAAGACGTGCAATGAAAAATTAGCCATGAAACGGCGTGGATTTTTGTGGCTAACCTTATTGCACATGCATTTAAAGGAGTTCCCCTTTCAGATGCAAAATTTATGGGAGGAGAGTATTTAAATTAATCAACAAGGTTTGTGGTAATCAGTGTGCTGGTATTTGTGGCATTATTTAATGGCTAAAAAAGCATATCTTAAACCCATTTTGCACTTGACATGGTCGCGATAGTTGCTGATTTTCGCAGCTCTTGGTAGATTGCGGTGATCATTATGGAGCTGGCTCCATCTGTGTTCTCTAATTTGCGCATTGTCAGTAGATCATCTGCAGAACTTTCCACTCCCATCTGCGCTTTTGTGGTCTCACGCTAATTTGCCCTGTTTAGTAAATCTGGCCCAAAAAACGTAAGCTGGACCAAAGTGTTTGTGGGGAGAATAATCATTTAATAATTGTGACCAAACAAAAATTGGCTGTCCCCTGTAATACTACTACAAACCCCCTGTTGAAAACTCTGTTCTAGTATTCTAATTAATAACTAAATATCTCACATATTATACACACACGGCCTGGCCAAAAAAAAAATTGTCGCTATCTTTATTTAAAATAGCAAATACTTCGGATTTTAAGACTGAATAATTATTGCAGTGATTATTATGTTTCTGGCATGTTGTGCATTTGGCAACCATTCTTTGAACTCTAACTCATGCAGTGCGTAGCTTTTTATTTCTCAAATAGCCATGTCGGAAGAAATGTTCATATTCCAGGATGACAATGCCAATATTCATCAGGCTCAAATTGTGAAAGACTGACCACCACAGAGTCCTGACCTTAACCCGACTGAAAGTCTTGTAATAGAGTTAATTTCACACTGCCTGTCTAAAAACAAGTTGCCCATTCTAATATTTCGTTTGACCACCTTTTGCTTTGATAACATTGTGCTTACGTTGTGCCATTGTTCTGGACAATGTTATGCAACATCACAACATTTATTTCCATCAAGAGTTGCATTAAGAGATCTTGTATTGATAAAGGGAGAGTCGATGTCTCGAGCTGATAGGATAGACGATGTGATTGCTGATAATTAATTGGCCGGGTTAATTATCTGTACGAGCTCCTCCCAAACGTTGTTAACAAAACATAATTTCTTCTGCTGTAGTCTCTCCTTGTTCTGGGTCTGAGTCCGGTTCGTACATGTACGGCTGAATACCGGTCCTCTCAATCTCGCTCATGTTGCTTCTCCTCTCTGTTTATTGCCCTACGCAAAGCAGAGACGTCTAGGCTTTGCCCCTTGAGTCGGGTGGGAAGTTGGCAACACACCCCTGAAACAGCACTTTTTAGACCCGCCCCAAAAATGACACTTTTCAACACGTTATAATAAACGATCTGTATGGTATTTTGAGCTGAAACTTCACAGGCACATTCAAGAGAGCCATAAGATTAATATTACATCTTGTAAAAAGGGGCATAATAGGTGCCCTTTAATACAAGATCTCTTAATGCTGACTCCAGCACATCCTAAAGACTTTCAATAGGGTTAAGCTCAGCACTCTGTGGTGGCCAATTCATGTGTGAAAATGATTCCTCATGCTTACTGAACCACTATTTCACAAATTGAGCCTAGTGAATCTTGACATTGTTATCCTGGAATATGTACACCTTCCAACATGCTTGTTTAAGAAATAAAAAGCTACACACTGCATTAGTTAGGGTTAAAAGAATTGCTGCACAACATATAAAAGAAACATATTAGTCACTGCAACAATGATCCAATCATAGACTCTTCAGTATTTAATTATCTAAATCCAAATGGCAACCTTTTTTTGGCCAGGTAGTGTACAGTACAATCAATCAACAATCACCCCCTTTAAAATAATCACATTTTGTTGCTTTGCAGCCTGAAATGAAGACGGACACAATTTTTGTTTTATCCAGCTGTATTTACTCAGAGCAACTTATAAAATCCAAGTGAAAGATATAACACCAATATGTCATAAAAAAAAAAAAACAGATTATTTTCTATACCCACTGTAGCATACTGTAATATGTATGCTTAAAGGCAAATGTAGGCTACCTCAAAAACACATTATTGTTAGCAGGGGCGGGAAAGGGGGGGAAAGTTAGGACGATTCTAAGGGCCCACGCACTTTTGGGGCCCCCAGAGATCTGTTTTATTAGTAGTAACAGTAGTAGTAGTAGTAGTAATGTAATAGAAATTATAAATGTATCTACCAAAGAGTTACAAATAAAACACAATTACGGCTTATTTCTGCATTTCCAGCAAAATTATCTGCCCCCATTCACTGCATGGTTTCGTCCCGTCCTACGTAGCCTAGAGTCACTGAGTGAGATCAGATGGTAAACTGTCAAATTAGAGATGTCTTCGAGTTCGAGGGGGGGCAAACTGAGCCAGACGATTTGGTCAGTCGCACTTTTAAACACATTTTAGTTTTGCTATAGAAAATATACAAATTCATACTCTGATTGCATAGAGAAGCAGCAGGAAGCGCATGAGGTTGTCATGGCAACCAGATACACTGCACGCGAATTATTATTTAATTATTTTGCCACCGTTTGCCACACTAAACTTAGCAATAAACACGTTGAAAATAATACACAATAAACATTACTTAAACATAACTTCCTGAAAAGCACTTAGAAAAGAGTTTTCTTTTGATAACACTGTTTCTTTGTTATTCTGATTTCATGGTGCCTTTGGTTCAACACTTTTATAAAATAGTGCATAAATATTTACATAAAAGTAATTTCACGGTGTGGGTGGAAACATGGAGTTTTTAACATTATTTGCAGTTTCTAAGTTCTTTGTATCAAATAGTATTTGGTATACAGAGCCAAAATTTCCTCAAGTTTGTCCAATGATATCATTTTCAGGTTTAAAGACCATAAACTTAATTTTCTTTAGGTAGAACTAACTGAGCTTCAATAACACTATCTGCTTGTTAAGTCTGACAATATCCATCACTGTTTCCAGGTCCAAGAGCTTTATCAGATCCCAAAAGCAGACTACAAACAGTGCTTATCTACACTCACTGTATGCTGTAATACTTTGAAAAATCAACCTTTATCTCCATATCAAAATCCCAGTTGGCCAGACAGTAATATTTTGATATTGCTTAATTTTACTGCAGGCCTGTTCAACAGCTGGCAGTCCTGGAAAATTTATACATTTTTCACATTAATATGCATAGGTTGCCAATTTAATAGTGGAAAAAATTCCACCTAAGAAACTGAGTGCCATTTAATTTGACCAATCTGAAATTATTACATAAGCCCTCAAAACCTGCCGTGCAGATTGCTGAAAATGATCCCAAAAAGCCATTTAGGGAAAGTTAGCCATACTAAATATGTCTTTAGTTAAATTTTTGCCAGAGGCCATTCTATGAAGTACAAAAAAACAACTCAACTATACAGGAAACGTTTCAGCCAAAATATAACCATGCAATTGTGGTCCAATCTCGACTTAATTCTAAGCAACAATCTCCATGTCAAAGCGGACAGTCTATTTGATTCAGTTTTTGCAATGTAGCTCAAATAATTAAGCTGAAAACACTCGGCAGCTAGAACTGTCACAGGGAAATTGGATACATGTGACTGCAAATATCTCTTTAAAAGCCCACAATTGTTTTGGTCCGGATGAATAAGACTAAACTGTTCAGACAACAAGGAGAGTTCCTTTCTGGACACATGCCATCTGTCTTTTAAAGGGGTCCTATTATGCTTTTTTACTTTTTCAACTTTAGTTAGTCTGTAATGTTGCTGTTCAAAATCAAGACATAATAGGACCCCTTTAAGCCTCCCAAACCACATTATCCTTTCCTCAAATTGTCACATTCCTGTGTGGATTCCTTGTTTGCTATTTGTTTCATCTGTGTGTTCACTCCCCATGTCTAGTCCCTGTGTGTGTGCCTTGCCCTTGTTAGTTGCCATAGTTACTCTCATTAGTTGTCATGACAGTTCATTAACCACGCCCCCTGTTATCCTATTAAGCTTGTTAGTCCCTGTGTATATATAGTCCTAGTGTTTCACTTGTCAGTTGATGTTCATGCTTGTGTCTTGCAGTTCCTTGTTTGCCTTGTTCCCTGTATTTTTGTGGATGTTAATCTGTTTCTTGATTAAGCTACTCCTTGCACGTAGATCCTCGCCTTTGCCTGCTCTCTCTGAACGTTACACAAATTCTCTGTAACACAGTCCATATTTCAAAAACAACCAGGCTGAGCAGCAGTGTCTATTGAGTTTTACATCTAAAAGTCAATAACATTTACAGGCCTTTCCAAAACTTACCTGAAAGGGACTAACAGATGCAGAATTTGAAATGTAATGACAAGATGTGAGATTTACTGCGTTTAACACAGGTAAAGGCATTCTGGGAAACAAAGTGTTTATAGAATTCTGTGTATAAGGCCTACAAATCCGGTAAAAAGCTTTTATTTTTAATAATTTGAATTAGTTTTAATTCAACAATTAAGTTGAACAAATATTCATTTTCTAGGTAAATTCTGTTTTATTCATTTATTTTAATTCTGCTACCTTACATTTATGCATTCTGTTTGCTGCCATGATTCAAATTCAGAAATTGGATAGGAATTTAAAAGGCATTCACAACTAAGTTCTGAACAGTGCAAAACCCTGCGGGCAAGTGCAATTTAATGTGTCATGAATTTTAAAACACAAAAACGTCTCGGTTACGTATGGTAACCCTCGTTCCCTGAAGGAGGGAACGGAGATGTCACGTCCCAATTCCAATATTGGGATATCGCTTCGATAGACCAATCTACTTTGAGTGTAAACTAAACGAGCCAATGCACATTGGCATGGGCTATACCGTGGGCTATACACATACGAGAACCGCTTAGGTCTCCATATGGAACCCAGCCTTCCACGGGTCCCGCGGATTCATCGTGAAGGCCCGGCGCCGGACGTTCCGCCGCGTCCGCTGCCGAGGGTGACGGAGGATCTCAACAGGGTCTACTGTAGGACACTCTGGAGCAGTTTTAGCAAGCCGACACTAACCAGGGCTCGGGACAAGTAGTTCCACTCACCATTTTTCACTTTTTTTTACCTTACTAAGTGAGACTGGATATCACTGGGAAAACGTACCCGCTCCACTTGGAACAGGGACGCTGCGGAAGCCCCATCCTTCCCGAAGGAGGTTTCGGAAGCAAATACACATATAGCATCCGTTTAGGTGTATATGGAGAAATGGAGGTGATTGTAACCCTCTTGGAAAGGCAGAAGTCTGCCGGGGAAACACGGGCTCTATGGCTATACCGTCGGCTATACACATACGAGAACCGCTTAGGTCTCAATATGGAACCCAGCCTTCCACGGTTCCCGCGGATTCATCGTGAAGGCCCAGCGCCGGACGTTCCGCTGCGTCCAGTCCAGTGGGCCATCCTCTGCTTAGAGATGGCATTCCCCTTCTGCCGGCCTCCGTAACAGACAAAGAGCTGGTCCCTGTGCTCGCACAACTGATCCTGAGACTGTGCTAGTATAAGCCAATCGTCTAGATAGTTTAGAACGCGAACACCCTGCTCTCTGAAGGGAACAAGAGCTGCCTCCGCGACCTTCGTAAAGACACGGGGAGACAGGGACAGCCCGAAGGGCAGGACCTTGTACTGATATGCCCGTCCTTCGTGATGGTCCCCAGAGGGTTGGTTCCCTGCGGGGTTTGCCATCACTGTAACCCTCAAACCGCCCGCGCTACTGCTGGAAGTGGTTCTCGTCTGCCTTCCACCAGAACGAGCCACAGATCACGGCAGCGGCAACGAGACTCCGCACCCTTGCGAGTAGCGGAGCCTGGTTCGCACCTCCGAGATGGTCATCTTCCCGCAATGAGAACATGACTCATCCACGAAGGCCACCTCAGCGTGCTTAATGCCCAGACACGTGAGGCAGCGATCGTGACCATCACCCGGTGCCAGGTAACGACCGCACCCAGAAACGCACGGGTAAAACGGCATCCTTATAAGGACGATCCGTCGTCTTTATAAAGACGCACCCGTGTAGCTCTTTTAGAGAAATTTGCTCTTTTTTAGGAAATGCTCTTTTAGTGCTGAAGCGCACAGGGGAGATGGCCGCTTTGCAACACGACAGGGGGTAGTGCAGCCTGAAGTGCGCAACCCACTCGACACTGGAACGACCACCGCTGAAGCGCCGTCCCGCCAACACAGAAAGCTTCCGAGAGCGTGCTGAACTCGTAGTTCTCGAAATAAACATAGAGCAGAACGATGTTGTTGCTCGGCTCCGAAGCGAAAAGCTGGTATGCATTGCACCTGCTGCCTTATTATACTCACGCTGTGATCAGCGGCAGCTGGATGCAATAATTGCATGCCAATGTGCATTGGCTCGTTTAGTTTACACTCGAAGTAGATTGGTCTATCGAAGCGATATCCCAATTCGTCGGTCACGACGTGACTCGTAGTGACCGACTGAAAGGGAACTAACATATAAACCTTAATGCAGAACATCTGAATATTTTACTATATTAATTAAAGGAAGTTTGTACGTATAGTGGTTAAATGTAAGTTTTACATCAATTTCAGTAAATACTTGAGTAAATCATGTTATATAAAATTGAGCATTTCCAGAAAGGCAGTCTTATGCATGAATATTCATATTTCAAAAATATCAGTATTGATTTGTTTTCTTCAGTGTATTGAAACTGTCAAAATGCAATAAATTGGCCAATCACATTTAGCTGGTAACATTTAGTCCTTTTACATCTTGCTGCCACTCCAGCTATTCAAACGGTGATATCAGAGTCATATACAAAGAAATGGCTCTCATCTGCCAAAGAGTTTAAAACAGATAGTCTAATGGTAGAAGGATAGGCCTAAACAATTGAAACATCAAATGCATTAAGATAGACTAATTACTCAATTCCTGATGAGTCCACTTGGCCTAGATATCGCAACATAGCCCCATCCTGTGTTTAGGCACTGCCGGTTGTGTTAAACATTTCCCCACATTTCAGGCCAAGCTGCAGCAGGCAAGCCTTGTCTAATGTGCTCCATATGGCAGACAACAAAACTACTGTAACTATGACAGAAGAATCAACACAGCCTTGTTCCTTCTTGGGAAATCTCAGCCATTCACATTGCATTTGGCAACACACACAAGCAAAGGTCAAGAAGGACAGAGCCAGCTTGTTGAGAGGGTAAAAGACTGATAAAGCATCCAGTGGCAGTTGCTGCCAAGAAGCTTTCAAATGAACTCCATTAACCTCCCTTAAGCGTAAAAATGACAGAGTACAAAGATTACACCAATTTGTGCATTCAGGCAAAATTGGCCATCAGTCCATTTTATGCAAAAGTTATTCATTCCACAACTTAGTTAAAATAACCAAATATGAATAAGGCTTTCATGGTAACAAAAATATTATTAAAAAATATCCAAATATGAAATAAAGCTTTCACTGTAACAAAAATATTATAAAAAAATAACCAAATATGAAATAAGGCTTTCATGGTAACAAAAATATTATTAAAAAAAACAAAACAGAGCTGATAAATGAGAGATGTGGCCTAACAGTTAGCACATGTGCTCTGATATATCGAGCTATGCTATTCATGTAGGCAACTCAAGTTTGAATCAGATTTTGGGCAAGTTCTTCTCTTCTTCTTCTCTATAATATATATATATATATATATATATTAGGGATGCACCGATATGAAAATTTTGGCCGATACGTATAACCGATAATTCTTTATTTTTGAAAGCCGGATATATATATATATATATATATATATATACAGTAGAGAGAGAAAGAGATTGCACTCACAAAGAGCAATTTCTAGCTTTACTCAAGCATAACTACAAAAATACAAACAACAGAACTTCCAAATAATTCCACAACTTTTTGTGATTTTATTTTATTTATTTTTTTGTATTTTAAAATGTTCTCTATACCAAGGGTGTCCAAACCTGCTCCTAGAGGGCCACCGTCCTGCAGAGTTTAGCTCAAACCCTAATTAAAGACAACTGAAACAGCTAATCAAGGTCTTCGGACTGACCAGAAACTTCCAGGCAAGTGTGTTGGAGCTGGTTGGAACTAAACTCTGCAGAATGTTGGCCCTCCAGGAGCAGGGTTGGACACCCCTGCTCTACAGCATTTCCTGTCATCTCTCTACTTTGAAAAAAAGGGGAAAAATCAGTGACAAGTAAAAAAAAAAAAAAAAAAAAAGGTTTTTTACTCACCCGAGAAAGGGGGGGATTCACTCGAGAAAGCGGGTGATGTATTCACGGCTGCAGCGTGACCAGTTGGGTGGAGAAGTTCCGTACAGGAGCTGTGGAGACATGACGAAAGGTCTTTTCCCAATGGGCTCGCAGTCATTGCCGTTCCCATCATGCTGAATCCCAAAGCTGTGGCATAAGAGCAAATCAGACAGAGAGAGGATGAGAAGACACTGCTGGACTGGCTTTCAGCCATATTTCACATTGGATCAAAAGCTGGCAATTCAATCTGTGACAAAAAAAAAAAAATAGGGCAGGAGTAGTGGTTGAGTTATTCTAGTAAAACTAGAATTTAGGTTTAGCTTAATATCTTAACTTAATATAATTGCTTATTACATTTTTATCACTATGTCCTTGTCCCTGTGTGTCCTCACAAGTCTCCAGTGTAATGTCAGAGTGTAGTTTAAATGTATTCAACGTTGTAACTGTTTGGAAACTGTACTGATAAAAAGTAGTCATGTCTGCAAACCAGTGACCACTGTGTACAATGAAGAATGGGTTTGTTATTCATAAGTTAATGAAGTTAAGGACATGGTTGCTTAGTTACTAAAGTAAAGTTAAATGCTATTAATGAATGAACCTGCCTGACAAGAACATATTCTTTTTTTCAGACAATTTACATAACACAGATAGTTTGTCGTCATATGGGAAAAACAAGAATACATTTATAGTTAACTTGATATTATTGGAAAGTATGTATGTACTTTATATTATCAGTGTTCTGTTGTTACTATTATACTAATGCTAAAATTACTAATATATTAGCGTTTACATTAATGGAAGTGACAAGTCAAGGTGGCAAGACATTGAACCATGCCAAATGTGTTCACTAACATTTCTACTAACCTTGTCTTTGCAAATTTAACAACTTTTTCAACTTCTGTCACAAAAAACCTACAGTAGTAAACCCTGTAGCTTTCACACAATATGCACAAGAATACATAGAAAGGGACGTAACTATACATCTAACTAAAGCTTAAATCAAACGCAGTGTTAGTTCAGTCAGGCCATGTAGGCATAGTGCTGCGGTCAGCTGACAAATCGCTCCAACCACTACCATTCTCCTCTTAGACCAGAGATATATATACTGTACGTGGCATGGAAACTGCTTGGAAAGTATGCTCAAACTGCTCGCAACCCTCCCTCCCTCCCCACTATAAGTATCAAGCATATTACTGTGCTCCTTCTGGCTGTCGTCTTCTTTTTGTTTCAGATTACCAAGGCTTCAAGTCCTAGCTGTCATGGACCTCACTGCTGAGAGACACTCATCCTCATAGCCAAGCTACAGTATATTAGTCCCGGGATTCACTGCCACGTCTACATGTTACCACTGTTTCGCTTTTAAAGACATTTACTAATGTGTCGTAATCGTCTGTATAGCGCTCAAGCTGATGGTTCCGGGGGTTAATGCTACAGCTCTTGTATGTTCAATAAATTATGGAGCAAGTACCTCTTAAGGAAGCATACCACCAAAGATAACTTGTGTTTCAATAAACTCAAAGTAACTTGCCAAAGTGGTCCTGTCTGAACTAAGTTAACTTGGTTATAGTTTATTTTGTTACAATGTAATTACACTAATAAGTACCACGTAATATTAATTAACAACATGTACTTACTGTAGGGTTAGGGTTTGGTTTATGGGTTAGTTGCTTATATTTATGCTTAATTTAATGTTACTACTACATGTAACGTGTAGCAAGGACAATGCAAAATAAAGTGTTACTGTTAAATTTACATGTAGCAAATTCCACAAACAGAAATTTCATTGGTAACACATACAGTTTATTCATATAGAAATGTGCAAACGAACTGAATTTTGAACAAAATGATGAACTTTGCATTTCTGGTTTAAACCACAGCTTGCTCAATAGGCGTGCATTATAAGTGCATTAGTATCCACATATTCTTACAAATGGAGGGGCCGGGCAAATCAAACTAATTTTCTGTTTAGACAGTGTGTAACAGATGATAGAGCTTGCTTTGAATTTTTCTTAAAATGTACAATGAGGAATTAATATTTTCAAATATATTACAAAGACTGCTGTCTCAGAAATAGCAGTCTAGAAACACAGCTCACTAGAGACCCTTACTGAGCTGTCAAGCTGCCTTTTTTTGAGTCCCGCTGTGTTTGACTGTTTATCAGGATATCATTGTTTATATTTCTATGTGGTGGTCGGCATGTGCAGCAGACAAAATGGCATGAGATCAAACAAACTCTAAGTCTAAGTAAGACTCTAATATGGTTTCTAACAACCAGACTGTCATTTAATAGTATGCTCCTGTGAAGAAAAAACAAATCCTATTTCTGCACCACTAGCCATCCATTAGGCTTCACAAGTCACATTCAGGCCGATTTAATTTACATAATGGTCTGAAACAAACACTGACTCCTTAAAAACTATTCCATATTATCTTGAAGGGAACTATACACAATGAATCACACAGATCTGAATGAAGTATAGATGGAGAGATGCTGGCAAAAAATATATAGTCATAAACTGGTACCAGAAAGAGTCCCTATCTCAGTAACTCAAAAAAGCTTAGATTAAAAAAGGTTTAGCTTTCTACTGAAGAATAATGAGAGAGAATATTCAGTATGTGATGACCTTATACTGCCTCCAGTAAAGAGTGTGTTACTCCACAGAACTAATGCATGGTTCAAAGACACCTTTGCTGTGAGAGCAACACAAAATTGGCAATTTACATATTCAACACTGTGTCTAGTTTTAGCTGAGGAAGTTATCTGTATTACTTTCAAAATTTGATCAAGAAAAAACATATAGGTGTCAGTTTTGTTGAAACAAGTGTGTTGCATGGGTGTGTATTATTTCTAAACCAGAGATTAATACATACACTGTGCTTTATAAGCATTACATTATTACAGTTAAAATTTTAAAATTTAAAGAAATTAACATTTTTATTCAGAAAGATTATTAAATTGATCAAAAGTGATGGGAAATACTTTTTTACACAAATTTTAAATTTTTAAATAATTGCTGTTTTTTTTCTAAACTTCATATTCATCAAAGAATGCTCTAAAATGAAGCATGGTTTTCAACAAACAACATTTTCAACTGATAATAATAATAAATGTTACTTGAACAACAAATCCGCATATTAGAATGATTTGTGAAGGATCTTGTGACACTGAAGACTGGAGTAATGACTGCTGAAAAATTCAGCTTTGCATCACAGGAATAAATATCATTTTAAGAAATATTCAAATAGGAAACAATTATTTTAATTGTAATACCTTTTTACTGTTTTAGCTGTATTTTTTTATCAAATAAATAAAGCCTTGGTGGGCATAAGATACACCTTTTAAAAACAACTAAACATTTACCATCCCCAAACGATTGAACAGTGGTGTATATATTAGCAATATATCAGCCACCTTCCCTCTCATTATCTGCATTAGATATAAAAAAAAAAGCTCTACCACTCAAGAGTAAATAACAACAATGTTTAGTACAACCACAAATAGACAGAACCAAGACATTACAGAAGGCATGCCAACATGCTATGTATGTGTCACGAATCCGATCCATGAATTTCCATCCACTTGCCACCAGAGGTCGCCCTTCCATGATATTGACTCTCGCACCACACAGACTGTTACACATGGACTACATTTCCCATGTTCCATTGCACTGATTACACTCACACCTGAAACCAATTACACGCTCACCTGAATGCCATTACACACACTATATAACACCTACCCTGATCCTGCTCTAGTCGCAGAGTATTGTTCTGCACTTTTCACTCCCCAAGTGTTAGCTGCCTTACCGAGCCATTCCGTGTTTTCTGTTTTAGTCTCGTGTATTGTTATGCGTTTATCCCTGTTTAACGGATAGCTACCTTACCGAGCCTGTTTAAGTTTTCATAGTTTTCTTAGTCTAGTCTTAGTCTTACCTTGTCTGTTTTCCTGGTCTCTGATTCACGCCACGTATCTTGGATTAACCCTTTGCTTGCTGTTTCTGACTCTGTTTGCCCCTGCCTGGACCTTTGCCTTCTACCTGGATTTATCTCTTGCCTTGCCTTCGATATACCTGTTTGCCATTGTCTGACCCATGCCTGTTAAAACCACGTCTCTTAATAAAAGCTTGCATATGGATCCGCCTGTTCGGATACTGTTTGCCCCTGCCTGGACCTTTGCTTTGTACCTGGATTATCCCTCTAGTCTCGCCCCTGTTGGATTACGTTCGCCCGTCGACTGACCCTCGCTTGTTTACTGGACTGCTCTTGTTTTGTCTTCTATATACCTGTTTGCCATTGCCTGACCCTTGCCTGTTTTGACCACGCCCTTAATAAAGTTTGCAAATGGATCCGTACGTCTCACGTCTTGTTTGGCCCGTAACAGAATACTCGGCCACATGAGGATCCAGCAGCTTTTCATGTGGACATTGGCCAGGTATGGACACTGCAAATCTTTTATTAGCCTTAAAGCAGGGTACACGCCCACTTGAAGGCTATATTCAAGAGTATCTGGACATTGCGTGCCATTCTGATTTGCCACACTGTGTGCTAATAGATTTTTTTTGTGATGGAGTAAATAAACCCTTAAGGTCACGATTAATCCATGAGGGTCCCCGTTCTTCTCTAAGCTATTTTTTTGATTTTGCTCTGCTGTGTGTCGACTCCGTGTTCACGGTGGGTGTTGCGGAGAAACATGACGCCGCCAGAGTCACGTCACATCACAGCTGATCATCTAGAGTCACGTCACAGCTGATCATCCAGAGTCTCATCAGGACACAGCTAATCGTCAGGAGTCTTGTCATGTCCTGTCTGTTGCACCCAGATCTTCAAGGTCAGTCTTTCGGTATCCCAGTCTGGTATCTAGTGTGAGGGATGCACCGCTGGTGTCTGCACGCACAGCTGGTATCCCCAAACCCACTCACGCTAACCCTTCTATTCATGAACTCATTCCCCTGTCTGCAGCACTTCCCATATGGGGGGTTGCTTTATGGTGTATCTGGGCCACGTACTCCACCGCCGATTTGCTAGAGGCAGCGGCACCGGCTACAACATCTCCAGAGGTGGCGGCTTATGCTGCAGAACCTCCCGAGGTAGCGGTGTCCACTGCTGTGCTCCCAGAGGCCATGGTGTCCACTGTAGTTTCTTCGCCCTTGATGGGGATCGCTTTTTGGTGTGTTTGGGCTGCATACACCACCACAGAACTCCCAGAGGCGGCGGCGCCCACTATTAGGTCTCCAGAGGTGGCGGCTAAAGCTGCAGAATCTCCTGAGTTAGTGGTGCTCGCTGCTGTGTTCCCCAAAGCAATGGTGCCCACTGCAGTTTCTCCATAGATGGCGGCGCATGCTGCAGAACCTCCCGAAGCGGCGGTGCTCGCTTCAGCTCCTTGCGTGGTGGTGGCGCCCAGA